GGTTCTCCCAGGGCGCCAAATATGCTAGGACCGCCCCTGGTGGCCAGTTCATATTATTGTGTGAAATGTTCTGTGTATTAATTGACGCACCCTTCCTCCAGCCCAGTGGGTGGCGCTACAAAACCAGACCGGATGTGACCATCGTAAAGCGGGAGAAGAGAAGCTGCCTCTCTTTTTCGCCTGTTTTTCTCTTTTGTCTCTTTTATATGGCTTGTTGCCAAAATTTAGTTTCTCTCATAACTTAATTTTGTACGCCACAGGTGAGTATAAAACGCTTTGACATGCTATGTTATCTACTGGTGCTAACTGTTAGCAGAGGGTGGCTAGTTTTAGACTCCCTCGTGCGCCCGCGAACATTAGCGGTGTCCTTTTTCTTTGTTGGAGCATCATTTATTAGTTTATGCTTGAAGCTTTGCGTTTGGTGTTTTAGAAATTTATAGAAATAACTGTTTTTGAGGAGGAAACACGCCGTGTCCGTGCGATGCTCCTCTGGTTATGTTTGCATCGGGTTTAATAACGTTTGAAAAAGTGTTTCATCCAGTTGTGAGAGAGTGATTCTCTTTAGGCTAAATAAAAAAAAATTAGAGGAGGTACAGAAAACGATTCGTTCAAAAATGACAGTTTAGAATATGGTTAGATTTTATAAAGTTGGAAGGAAAATATGGAAATATTTCACTTGTTTTAGTAGATGCTGATAGTTTTAGATCAGCAGCGCCCCCTGCTGATCAAAATGTGACTTAAGTTTGATTTCAGTGAGACCAAGTTTGGTGTGAGCTGTCTCAGAGCAATGCATTCAGTCCATGTTCTCCTTAGTTTGGCCTGAAAGTAGCCCAACATTGTTTTTGCAATGATCAGATGGTCTTTGAACCCTCAACAGAACTAATGTTGCTGCCTGGACCATATGAACCTGGAAAGAAATGGGTTCTGAACAGGTGAACATCTGGTTATGTCAACTGTTTTTATCCTTTTTTTGTTTTTCAGGTTCAGAACTGATCTCCTGCCCTGGGGGCTATGGACCAGGACCAGAACCTGAGATGATGCTGCCAGGTACAAAGTTAAACACTGCAATGAGATGAACTCATGATCACAATGACACAGCAGAGACTCAGAACAGAAGATAGCTGTAACGTGATGATGGACCACCTGAGAACGGATTGTTTGATTTAATTATTCACATTTGTTTACAACCTGGTTCCATCGGGTCAGATCACTGTTACAGCTACATGTGATGTTGCTGTTTACCTGGACAGGTGACATTAAGGCATATGATGATAAAAGTGACACTGAATAAAGTTTGTAAAAGAATTCTGAGACCCAAACAGGAAGTTCAGTTTGAGGTTTTGGGTCTGAACCAAATTTGACCCTTGCTGGTCTGATTCGATTCGGGTGCTGAGTCTCTGCGGTGGATGCATCTCCATTTGCCTGGAACTGATGCAATAAAAGGCCGACTGAAGCCCCGCCCCCAGCAGTCTGTTCACAGTGGCGGGCGCTGTGACATAAACGGACCGAAGCGTGTTCTGATCCGGGTGACTCGCAGGCTTACAAAACCACTTGTTGCGTCTCTTGCCTGACCCGTGTGATGTCATTCTGTCCCACAGGTAACCAGTCACCTGTCGACCCAATCCTCTTGACGGCAGCGGTGACATCGTGCAGGTGGGTGCTGTGATGTCACACTGTGGGCGGGGTCACCAGCCAAAGGGGGTTTCTGGGAGATGATGTGAACAAAAGGCCGAATTGTAGCACTGTCGCTGGGCAGTTTGTTCTCAGAGCACGGCGCGATGACAAAGACCGACCGAAGCGTTCGTCTGATCCCAGCCAGGGCCACATGACTCTCAGCCAATAGGACAACCAGAGAGTTACAGCTGCAGGGCTGCCAGTAGTATTAATGCTGTTTTACTTCTCTGTAACATTAAAATTAAAACAAGTGTATTAAAGTGATACAAATCATATTTATTTCTTAATAAAATATCAGGTTTTGTCAAGTCAGGCTAAGTAAAGTCTTGCTTTGTTGAACTTGTAGCTAGCTCACATTCTTTGTCTTATCAGAGCTCAGTAACCATGTTGTTAATCGTGTCTTGTTTATTAACATGTTGTTGCCTCTTGGCTTTATTTTATTTTCCTGTCCTGTAAATCTAGTTTGAATTCATATATTGGAACTACAGAATGGACTTTTTAACAGGAATTAATTTTTGTTTTGTTTGTCTGCAGGTAAATGTTTCCCTGATCTGTCTGGCTGTTTTCTCTCTCTACTAATCTCATGGATAAACCAGAGTTAAGTTTAAATGAGATTTTGGTATTTTAATTATCAGCAGTTTGACATAATGTATTCTAACTTTAAGTTGATTTTAATAAAAAAAAAATTAATGGAACAGCTTGACTTGTGTTTTTTTCCCCTCAAAAAGCCTCTAGCTGAAAGCCTGGAGAGCCATTACTGGAAATGTTAAGTTACAGGAAAGTGTCTCCATGGAAGCAAAATGGAAAGAAATCGACTTTTTAAAACTTGGCACAGCAGCATGAATAAATATTTCATTGTTTTGAAATTGCCCCTTTTTTGTGGTTTGTAGCATTAACTTTAATTTTTTAAGGAACACCTTAATTTTGTTTGTCATAGCATTAAATTTTCGATGTTGCACAATGAATTGTAATTAATCTGCAGTAGGTTCAGTGCTCAAACAGAACTTGGACTGTAGTGATCACATCTGGACCTGTTTTCATCTGTTAAGGATATTACATTCTTTGTTTTGTTGCAACTCGTGTGTTTATGTACAAGTCTTGGCTATTACAGGGTTCCCGCAGATCCTTAAGTCGTAAAAGGCATTGAATTCATCAATTCAAAAATAAGGCCTTAGACTTAAAATGTTTTAAATCTATCTTTCAGAGGTCTTAAAAATGCTAACACATTGTAAGATTATTATAATTTGTCTCAAATGTTAAAATAAGTGGCTCAGAATTAGCAACTCTAAATCGAGTCTGCTGCAACCTTTGCAATCAAAAGAGCCATTTCTGCTCCTAGCCTCACTAATAAAATGTGTCCAGAGCCATAAAATAAGCTACAACTGTGATTACCAACTGGTGGTCCATGGGCCTTTTCAAGGCTCTTTTGTGAACCTTTACGGCCAGTGGAGGTGACATTATAAAACATATATATGTATATATATATGTACATATACTGTATATATATGTATATATTGTATGTGTGTGTATACTGTATATATATG